ATGGAGGGCTATCCATGCAGGCAGGCCACTCCTCCTTCTGGCCATCTGAATACTGGGAGACAAAGCATCCCGGAAATAAAATTCAAATTCCAATAGCAACACAAAAAGTCACTTTCTTTGCAATCCTGGTTGTCTCCGTCTTTAGTGAGATTACAGGCCCCTTTGTTAGGCAGAAAACTTGAATTTCTCAAGAAGCCTCCATGCTTTTTTTGCATTAGGAATTTTTTAGATGCTGTTTAAGTAAAACATACCAAATGCAGTCCCAGTTTTTCTAAAAACTGATTTACCTTTGCTGGAGATAGAAACCTCAGGGAGTAAAGTCCCACTCCATTGGCTCCCACTTTAGGATTCCCCTACTGTGGCTAAATGCAATATCTTCACTTGCAGGAAACATATACAAGGATAGACGTGTTGGCCAAGCTCTTTGGGAATGGATAAAGTTCCAGGTCCCACGGATGTTGTTGTACTGGAACTCTCACCAACTACAGTATCCCTGGCCAATGGTCAACCAGCCACTACTCAGATCTCTCCAACTAAGGAGAACCCACCACTTCTTAAGGTTGTCTCTTTCCCTTTTAAATAGCACTTACCACTAGGAAGCTTCTCCTAATGTTCAGCCGTAATATGTTCTCCTGAAATTTCCACAATTTCCATTCTAATCCTGCCCTCTCAAGGAAGAGAAAACTACTCCATGTCTTCTGTGTGACAGCTCCTCAGGTATTTGAAACTGCTACCGAGTTTCCTTTTTGTTCTGTCCTCTCAAACTTAGGTGTTGTAACTTACAAAACCTTCAGCCTTCTATTCATATACTTTCACTCATCAGCAAATATCAGTGTTTTCCAGATCAGAAATTTCTGTAGATCTTTTCATTAAGTAAATACATACATACATACAGTATTTAATTTAATTGGCTTACACATTGTAAACCGCTTAGGGAGTGCTAGTTCAGTGATAAGCGGTATAGAAATGTACTTGCTATTGGTATTGCATATAACATGTATTTAATGCATTAAAGTATTTAATATGATGTTACATTTCATGATATTCCTATGTATGCATTCATGCGTTGTCTTTTATAGTCTTTCTATAGCCCACTGAAGAAAGCCTTAAAGTCTCTATAGGCCACAATGTATTGTGCTTTTTCATTATTAAATATCTTTCTATAACATCTTGAGATGTGTTGGTTCTATCAGACACTCTCCATTTTTTTTTCTTTCTGCCCATTTTTCTCTATGCAGGCTCTAGTTTATCGAAGTTCTTCAAGACTGTGGTGCCCAGAACTGGACACAGTACTCCACACGTACTTGCTGTGTGTTGTTAGCTGCCTTCAAGTTGACTTTGACTCATGGTGAACCTGTGAATGAGATGTCTCCAAACCCCTCTACCTCTACCGTATACCTCTTTGCTCAGGTCCTGTTGGCTCAGGCCTATGGTCATGTTTTTTAATGATGTGACTTATCAGACTTGATCTGTTGTAGGACCCAATTTTTACTGTTGTCTAGGGACTATGGGGCAAATGAGTAAGGAAGCACACAACAGCAAGTTTTGCCCCTTCTCCTTACTTCTGGAAGGCAGAGATGGAAGTCATGAGTGCTGGTACTGGTTCCACTCATGAAAAGCAATATTTCTAATTCAACCTAGATAATGATGAAATCAAAATAGTTAAAGATTTCCAAACATTGATCAGAAAGGAAACTGTAGTTAAGAAATAAGAAGACTAGGGACCTTATCACATGGGGCCCAATCCTGACAGAATCCAAAAGAAATCC